TATCTGATAATTATCCTAAGGATTTCTGTTTAAACATATCGTTATCAGAGCGTCACCTCGTATTACGCACAGTATAAACATTAGGTTGTAATGAGTAAGCTGCGCGTGCGCTCCCTGTGTTAAGATCCCCGCCACGCGACCGACACGCGTGACACGTCTCTAATTGCCTTTCCATAGGGACTATGACAATATTGGACAATCCAGTGAAAATAACACCGGACTATTATACCAACATTTAATCAGACAATAATCTCACATTTTAATAGATAAGTGAAGGCGGAGTCGGGTGATTTGTAACAGTCCCGTCCCCTTTTTCCTATCGTGATTACATTTTATGAAAGTTCTTTTAATGTTTAAACGTTTAAATAGAAATTAAGCCCTGACACAAACAAACTGCCGCCCGGAGAAATAAAAAGAGCAAAACAAATGAGAGGAGTTCATTTAGTGCGACCACTGAATTGTGTTTCGGGAGGATAATAAAAAGGGAAGTCATCAGTGACACGCACAATAAGCATCAACCTCAAGAATATCATAGATAACGTCGCGGAGACTCCTCCGGAGAGACCTCATTAGGAGGCCGTGGGGAAATTAAAAAGAAAGCAAGATCTCGGACTCAATTGTGAGTGGAGAAAAACGACGGCCTTCCTCTCATAACATTACATACAGCTTTGGTCGATTTTTCCGGACAATTATTATTTTGTGGTGCGTAAGACAGCCCCGGGGATGTACTTAATTCCAGAATAGCTCCAGTGACCACGGAACATAAATCTGTTTAACGCGAATTAGAGTTTACTTATACTCATATTTTCATCTCATTGAGGCCTATATTGTTTTTGTATTTTCACTAGAGAAAAATTTAATCATTAATTACGACAATTTTTGTTTTTAATATGTGTTCATACTAATATTTCTATAACAATATTTTTAATTAATTACCCAAAGAAACACACCTATATAAAAAAAGAATAGACAATGAATTGTCTTATCCGAGTACAAATTTCGAGTCTCAGAACTTACACGATTGGAAAGAAAGTACCTATAGAAATCTTGCATTTATGCAAAACAAAGGCAATCAAGGTCCGGACGAACAGAAAGAAATGAGGCTTCATTAAGCTAAAGGAAAGAAAACTTTAATAATGTAAGATGCAAAAACCTTGACAAAAAAATGCTCAAGAAAATCTGACAACATAAAGGCTGTTGTAACCGGGGGACTCGCCGTAAAATCATTAAGATGCTAATAAAAACTTCCTTTTGTCGCACAGAGACGCAATCGGGGGGACGGTGAAAAAATATTCAAATAAAAACTCAATTGAGAGAGTGGAATAGGAAACGGCTTCCATGATTTTCTTCAAAACATAATGAAGAGAATTAATGTAAATATTCTTTTTGCCGGAACTTTTGCGCCCTCCGAAAAGTTTTTTTACATCGTTTTTACAGCGTGTCGTTTAACAACCGACCCCACTTATTGACATTCAATTCGGGGGGAAATTGATTTATGAAGATTGTTGCCTTAATTGAGAATAGATTTTTAATGTTCTTAATGTGAACACCGGATTCTTATGAGCTAGTATAGAACACCAATCTTTTTATATTGAAACAGAACATGCATTGTTAAAAATACATGACAGTGACAGTATTGTTAAATATAAAAAAATCTAGTGCTAATATAAATTTCACGTACGTCACATTGAACAATGGTGTGCATTATTGATACGTAAGTGCAGCTGCACGTCATGCACCGGCTACTGGACATGCGGAACAAATAACTGTTTATTTTATAATAGAATTTAGGGCAATGTACATTTGAAAAATTCATACATAATATATTGTTTGATCAATTGTACTAGTAAGTGTTAAGAATTAATGTGTTGGTATTATTTTAAGTATAAATCTTTATGTTGATATTGGATTTATTGGTGAATATTGATGCTTGTTCGCTTTCAGTTTTACTTTAACGAAAAAGTTGTTTATGATATAAATAACAACTATAAATTTTATAGACCAATTTATAATAAAGAATATTGAAAAAATATATCTAACTAGCTTTCCGCCCGCAGCTTCGCCGCGTGGAGTTCGGTTATATCGCGTTTCCAAGAGAACCTTTCAAAAGTCTGGGATAAAAACTATCCTATGTTCTTTCTCAAGGTCAACTCTATCTCTGTACCGAATTTCATTAAAATCAGTTCAGTGGTTTAGGCGTGAAAGCGTAGCAGACAGACAGACAGACAGACAGACAGAGTTACTTTTCGCATTTATAATATTAGTAGGGATTTATTATAATGTTTTTTTTGTCCTGTTCTGTATTTTATTTTTAATATAATATAAGTTTAACAAATTATTATTTTAATAATAATTAATTATATATCCAAATTGTACAGTTATAATGTTTGGAGACTATAAGTATGAATATGATATGAAAATGATAATTATTCATTTCAAGGAAATAAATATTATAATTCAATATGAAAATTCACTTCTTTTTTTGTTTTTTTGACATGAACATATATGTATATCATTCTTATAATTTACGGAAAGGAACCAAACATATTATTACTATCAGCAGAAATAAGATTAAGACAAAGTTAAAAAACGAATTAATTATAGTCACATAATAAAAGTTTTTGTATGTCTTAATTATATTTTTAATATACAATGTTTAATATATGTAATACTTAGGCTGATAAAACAAATTAATTACTTTGAACTTAGAAGTATAATACTGGAAATTTTAATCAAATGATACATCTTGTTGTTATATTTAATAAATGATCTCAAATCGATACTGCGTGAAGTTGATTCGAAACCAATACACATTTACGGAGACAACGCAAACAGACATTAGGCCAAATTATACACATTAAGAGGTCCCGAATCGACTTCTAATATGCAATCACATACTTTATACAAAATTTTTATCGTACCTATTACAAGATTCGCATTAAACTACCCAGAAAATCTTTAACCTAAGCTTTAAGCTTATAAAAGCTCGGCGCTAATGGCCGGATACCGGAAATTGCGCTCTCATATATCTCCCGACAGATTTATGAAAGTACTCACACATGTGCCCCGTCTCCACACACACACGAACTTTATTAACACACACAAACAAACCGACCCGATCGCTGAAACTTTGACACTTATTAATTTAAGGGGTCATTAATTTTAGAGTATCGACTAACGATAAATTTAAAGCAAACTATTAAAGTAAACTCAGTCATTATGTACTGCTACGTCGTAGATAGATGACGGAGAACAAAAATTATAATAATGTTGTATAACAGTATTGTTTTTGATTACAATCTCGGTTATGATCGCTACACGCGTAGCGGCTGAACGAGCTACGCCGTAGCCGCGTAGCAGATAATCCGCGGCCGGCGTGCTCTCACGCCTACCATAGCTGATATGACTCTGATGGTCTTTCCCTGTCATGTTTAATGCAACTGTCAGCTCTGCTTACAATAATCATGTAGATTTACACCCTCATTCAGAAAAGGTTTATATCGATTTTAATACATTCGAACTAAACACTAAGAACATTGATTTAGTTACAATAGTTTTTATGTATTGGGAAAGAAAGTTTTGTATTTTCATCTCCGTCGAGATGATTACTTGACGGTGTACACTGAAGTGGAGTCTGTTTTTTTTTAGGATCGTAATCTTTCTTAGCTATACCGCCTCAGCCCCGACACGTACCGGCCATTGTGACGTCGAATACGTCTTCCGTGGCGCTTCTTATATGAGCATTACAAGTGCTTTCTAAATAATCTAAGTCCAGCTGAAGAGAGCGTATTGTATTGACACAGTAGAGTGGTGGCCGGCCGTATAATGCGGTGTGCATGTGTGCGTGTATGGCTGCAGGCGCGCATGTGTGTGTTTACGCTTGATAGAATAAGCAAGTCGCCGGGCGCCGCGGGGTAGGGGGGGGAAGGGGTACACCTAGCGAACATCTCAAGACTGGCCCTCCACCACCCCAGCCCACTGGCCGTCTTCTATAGCACTTCCGTGGCCTCGTCGCTCTTTAAATCCTTTTATATTATCATATAATACATGTCACATAGTATATAAAATTTTATTATATCAAACTTTCTTAAAATATAATACTCGATTTATGATTAAACGTTTCAAGCAGCTCTCTAAATATGTATAAGTTAAAGAGTAATAGAAGAGTTATATGAAAAATATTTGAATAGAACATGTTGCAAAAACGTAATGAACCACTTCAAATTGATGAACCCCTGAGGAGTCGGTTGTGTGAGGAGCAAATCATATTAACGGCAGTCGAATTCACATCTAACTGTGTCACACTTCACTTAAATACACCGACAATATACCAGACACTTGTCCAAATGTACCAGAACCGATACACTACAACCTTAAATTATACATTATACAATATAACTGAAATTATACAATCTCAACAATTACACCGAATTAATGTATATATAAATTAAACACAAAAAGAAAGAAACTTGGTATTGTACATAAAATTTCGTTCATGGTATCGCATTAATTTTAACAATGCCGGCCACAGACGGTGCTTGTGCTCGAGCCAAAAGTTATGTTCGAATACTTTTAACGGCGGGCGGTATGAGTAGATTTACAATAAATACACCAAACAAAGAAAAAGGAATCTCACTGCGGGAAAACTTCTGCTTTGAGCTCGTACTCCGCAGAGTTGGGCATATGTGTAAGTAGATTTTCGCCTTGTTACAATATAAATCAACTTTATATGTATATTTATTATGACTGTTTTGAAATAAATAATATACTTTTTTATTTTCTTTTGGTTTCTTATTAAAACATCATGGATTGTTTCAACGAATTGTATTCCTAAGTAATTATTTATGTACATTAACTCCTTAAGTCACTTATAAATCAAGTGATATATAAGAAGGGTGTGTTCGAACACAGAAAATATAAGCAATCGAATAAATATTGGCAGATTTAGAATCGAAATGTTTGAGACATGCAGACGCCGCCTCCGGCTGTACCTGAATCACCTGATATAATTGAACTTCAAAAACTGTGCTCGCAGAGCTCCAATACTTCCGCCTCACTTCCCACACCTCCCTCCTATTTATTTTGTCTGCGTTGTCTTTGACACTGCTGCTGTCAGCCTGCCTTTTGAACGCTCTCCCATCCGACGCATTATAGACGGTATCAATTCCGTTTAGATGTACCGATTTGTTGAAACGTTGCTTTGATCTTATGTACCGTAATTGATACCAATCCTCCCTGGATAAGCTTTATACTATACATTTTTATATCCCATAATAAAGTTTACTTCAACTGTGTTTTATTGATAATAAAAGAAAAAACAATCCATAGTTTGGTAACAGAGGAAACGTCTAAATGTAAACACTGGAATTTGTTAAGGAACAACCAAATACGCTCATGCAAATAGAAGTGTCGTTTGCGGCCTCTCGAGAAGTAAATCAAGAAAGAAACTCCAGATAGCGGTCGAGCGTCTTTCACGGCTCAATCAACTGCCAGTGCTCCTTTGTACAAGCAATACCTTCTACACAATTCTTAGCCTTACTTATATGTCAACGTAAAGAAACAAATATAACCTCGCCGAAGTAAATAAGACCCTTTCTATAGTCATGTTGCAGATATGAAAATAAAGAAATATAAGCTCTCTACTAGGGCTCCTCCAATGGCGCACCTCTGTTTTATTACATCCATAAATTCATCATATCGCGGAGGCAGTGTGGGTCGCCATTGGCCGCGCAAGCGAGAAAGCTAAGGCTTCTCCCTCGCACCTCCTTCATATTAATATTGAATTTTTCTCGCCCCTCCGGCCACCCCCGCGGGAGGCTCTACACTCGCCTCCCTATTGTTGTTATCTTTAATGTTGTGGAAAACGCGTTTTCTTGTGTCGTTAACTTTTATATTGCAAGAGTGATACTATTACGACATTGATACATAACTTATATGGAATCATAATTTAATTATTTTACTATTGATCACGACTTTAATATATATGAAAAATAAGTTCATTCTTTGTATCAAGCGTCATGAATTTTTGATCTTATTATGTATTGTAAGCTTAATCGTTTAGAATGACTTATTACCTTATTGTTTTCGTTATAACCTAAAAGCCAAATCAAAATAGAAAAAAAGAACATAATAAATTAATCACTTCCAAAAGGGGTCGGCATTCTCCCCTTTAATGTTTTCCTTTGCGTTTTTCCTTTAATGCATTGTCTGCCGGTGAAATTAAAAACAGAGGAAATAACCCGTCTCCTGCTCAAAATGACATCAACCTCTGAAAAAAGTCATTCAATTTATATGTAGTTATGTGGATGTTTTTAAAACACAACATAAATATTTAAAGAATAAAGTCGTATTGGTTCATCTTACGCTTAAATTGAAATTATAATACTATATGTAGTCAGTTTTTTTTACATTTCTTAATTTACTACAATTTAAATTTATTTAAATTAATAGAATATTGATATATCTATTTAAGATTTTCTGCTTCACCTATTCACTTTTTGCAATACCATCAAAAACATCAGTCATACACACACATATCCGATCACCAAAGGTATAATACAAAAATACGGTGTATTTCTGAAGATTTCCTCCCTTATATTTCAAAGCTCAAAGAAATCGCTAGCAATATCTGTCTGAAAAATATATCGGATTGCTTTGTCGCAGCTTTCCAAATCGAAATCTATTTTCCTTCAAATCTAAGTGAAATCCCGTGCGGATTGGAAATGTACCCTTTACCTACCGCCGGGCGAGGCAATTGATATTCCAACAATACAATGTATGAATAAAATATAAACTAAGTTCCTATCAGCCGTGTTGCTGCAATCGCCGCTTGGATTTACGTGAAATCTCTTGTTATTTCGAGCTTATGTGTAATATGTTGTTAAAACACAACATATTATGTCACCTAGGTACTTATAGTTAATATGTTGGATTGTTAATGTGAGAGTTTTTTAATTTTTTAACTCTCTTAATATACGAAAAGTCTTTGGCATTACTGATTTATAAATGGAAAATTATTTGATTATTTTTAATTCTTTAAGTATCTATTAATAATGGATTATGAAAAATATGTATGTGATATTGATATCAGAAGTTTATTTTTTACTGTTATGAAATTTTAATAATCGTTGCGGTCTCTAAAAGAAATCGAATCACATTTTCATTTAGGTTACTTTAGAAACAAGGTTATCATTTAGGTCATTTTTAGTAATTTTAAAAATCAGTGTTAAATAATCAGACAGAAATAAAATTATTTAATAACTAGAGATTCATTACGTTTTTCCTAAAACTTCCAATCAAACTGGTACGTATACCAGATTTTGATTTATAACAATATATTTTCAAAATTAAAATGGAAATTGACCGTAACGAAGATATGTGTTTTAAATAATCAATTAATTATATGGCTATAGAATCTTCTAAAACTTCGACTCAATTTCTTGCTACTATCAAAATATAAGTATATTTGAAAATATAAGTATATCTATTATAATTAGTACTAATTTTCCATAATATGAGAGAAGAAAACGATAGTACTGGAACAGGAAATATTGGAAATTAAACGACCAAATCATTGACACTAACCGGAAAAACCACTGTGTGTACTTTGATATAATGTTGTTGATTATGATCTCGAAATGTGAAGAGAACCTTGTCATTTGGAAGGCAGTTATTCGACCTTTTTTCTTATAGATATCTTCAAAACAATGAGTCTTAATAAACACCAAATATATTCCAATCAGTTTATTTATCATTTTCAAAGACTTAGCTTTAAATACTAACAAGATTTCAAAGCTTCTTTAAACAAATAATTTTGAACTTTTTTTACTATATCATAGTAGAATTTCGACCGTCCCGCGTCTTAAATAATAATAGCAGAGCGTAAGCACTATATGGCCGGTATCTTATGAATTAAATATGAGCGTTTTTATTTGATTCCATGGTCCCTCGATATCTGATAATAAAAAAGAAATTCCATCGCACACATGTAAGAAGTTGCCGGAGCTCATAGCCAGCTATTTTTTACGGCCTCTGTCCGTCCAGAATCGCTTCATAGCCGACCCCTGTCCGAGCGTTCGATGACAGAATTTATTTATCAGTTTGAAAAATGACGGGAAATTGAATGTAGTAGCAATGTTTACAACGCATTTTCTGTTCGGTGTCCTCGGGGGCTGCTTCCCTCGCGTTCCAATGTCCACTTTTCAAAGAGGCCGCTCGGACGAGGGTCGAAAAAGTGTCCCTTGAGTAAAAAATAAAAAAATAAGTATTCGTATTGTATCCAGCGATGTAATGTGTGCGAGGATGACAAAGAAAAAAACATAAGAGTAGGAAACAGTCTGTAGACGGGTGATGCTTTATTCATTTATATGGTATAATTGTTCGATCCTCTGGGATGGCATTACGCTATGACGCAATCTATTTTGAGTGACCGTGGCCATGTGTGCGGCCCGTCCGTGAGTATCAAGGGACGTATATCTACTGCTTCCGACTTCAGATCTATATTGAATTATCTAACTCTGATAAAGGAAACTTTGAAGGACATTCGGGTATTGCGCAATACCGTGCAGATGTTTCAACAAAAATATTTTTCCTATACTGACCGTCCTTATGGGATATTTAGATAGATTTTTATGAGAATCGAAATTGTTCGATGTAAATAATTGTATATATAATATATCAGCCACAGTATTATGTAATATATAAGTCCGTGTAGTCCATAGTTTATTGCTTATAGTACATAGGTGTGCGTCGTATAATAACAGGTATGGTCGCTCGTAAAAATGTTTTATTCACCCCATACGGCGTCGTAAAAGGCGTAATAACGCGAGCAGGCATCGTGGAAGCAATTACCGATCTGTTATAGTTTGTTACAATGGTGCTTGTTTATTATCCTTTTATTACCAACTCATTTGTAGAACGAGGACATCGTTTAATTGAATTCCTTAAAGAAAATTCAATATCTTACTCTTACACTTTGATTTTACGAACCTCCATTTTTACTTATTCGTTCATCTAGATTTTTATTTTAAATATTTTTTTCAGTTACAAATATACTGATTCATATATAGAAGAAGATAATTGAATTCATTCATTCATTCATTCATCATTTTCTAAAATATCTTATAAGTATATCAATGAACTCAATTTATACATGTTAATACAAGACGGTGATCCCTAATTGGTTCATCATATTTACATAATCATAACCCTACAAGTGTCTTGTGCAAGAGACGCCACGATTGGACCGGTCCATACAAACAGACATCGCACCCTATTATAATCATAACGCAATATCATATCCGCCCGCCCTACAAGGAAAAACTGAAGCCTGCATTCGCCGCCGCCCGCCTACAATATCATAACGCTACCGGATTGGTCGTTATAAATTGATATAATATCATAACCGACCACGATTGGCTAAGAGAGTTCATACCGCGCCCGCTTCATTAGAGCTTAGTTCACGTAACTTTAATAAGTATGTCCATACGTTCCCTTCCCTCGATAAATATGTCGGGTGTTTCCTCCCTAGTATGAGCGGTAGCAAATGCCGACCGCCGACTACCCGAGCCGGATCAATAATAATACTCGGCCATATCTGCAGTGGACTGGATCTGCTTGAGAAAGCGCCCACACCCGACCCCCCCGACCCTCCTTACACAAACAATATAAATCATTTTCTGAACAGCCAGGCCGCGGATACGACCGCGCTGGTATCGCTCGCCATGATAACGATTACAATATATCCTTAATAGTATTTATGCATAAATACATATTATAAGCTGTAAAGCTAATATTATTAACAAAAAATATTGATACTGGATTCATAGTAAAAGGAATAAAAATGATTAATACTTAATTAATTATGAGTATATATAAATATAACATATATTTTACTTTCAATTCGGTTGAAAAATTCTGATATTGAACACCATATCATTATTTTATTCCGTACTGTACTCTCTGTATTCATAAACAATTAAAACAACAGCAAAGAAAATTTAATTTATCGATAAAATTAAAAAATATTTAATATTTTTGAGATAGGTGTATTTTTTTATGATCAAATTGTTGTAAAATTTTTCATAACCATTAATATTTGTCACTTCAAATTACTTCAGCCAAAGAAATTAACAGCGTGAATAAAATCTCAATTTACAATCAAATACAATTAATAATTGATCACGTAGTCAAAAACCACTAGCAGAGCTCACCCTAACGAACTAAGAATTCATGTAATTAATGTTTTTTTAATATTAAACGCCATTAAAGCTAAGAGATGTAAGTGCATACAAGTAAATTTCATTACATAGAGCTGTAGCGACGTGTCGATCGAGCTCATGGCTATACAGAGCCGGCGAACTTTGCACAATTTATCAAATTGAGTTTACTGAGGGGCAATATCGCAGAGCGAACGCAATATTGCAGCGCGTGACCGCGTCTGCAATACGCGCTCAATACATGAAGCGGCGCCGGGCCTCACGTCCGCCGCCCCGCCCGGCAGCCCGTCTTCTAGCCACCCGGCCCCCGCCCGCCCGACTGACCACCTAGATATTTAGCTAAACAATGCCTCGACCACCTAGCCACCCCGTCCCGCTCACACCCACCCCGACAGACAGGGACAGACGCACCGGCCTCCGGTCATTGCTATATTTATTGGCGACGCTCATAAGTACGCGGGTCAGGTTATAAGTTCTACGAAATGAATGGCCGAGCCACGTAGGAGAAGGCCCGTCGCGCTTAACAAGAAAACACCTCCACCAGCCGGTAGGGGGAGCCACCCCGCTCTCGGTGGCCTTATAATTAAAAAACAAAAGAACACAGAGGCACTCAGCCTCTTGGCTGCCGCTCGTTCGACTTAAGAAAAGTGCAGCTACTAAAGAATTGGCTATTGATTTTTATGTCTTACGTTTCAACAATATTTATTGAACACTTTTTTAAATATTTGTTGAAAACTTTTATTACATATTTATCGAAATTCATAAATGAATACTAACCTTCTTACTACACGTATGGTAACGTTGAAATGACTGGCATATAAATTTAATGAGTTTAACAATTACCTATAACTTATGTACGGTGTCAATAAATAAACCTTGTAAATTTGGAAAGTTAAATACTTACATGAAGTATTACTTTCCAAAATATTCCCCTGGAGTGCCTTTCTACTAGAGAGTATGTCTCACTCTGCTACTGATATCCTGTTTTAAGTTACATATTATTCAGTTTTATCATATTAAAGAAATGTAGGTTTAAATTATCGTTTTAAAAGAGACAGTTACCTTTAAGAAAGGTAAGAGCCACAATAAAGGCGTCAACAATATCAAACGGAATCTATAAAACCCTTGAGCCCCATATGTCCAACACCGGCTTACAATTCATCCGGGCGGCTTCTATAACGAATACAATTACGAAGTTCGCAGATGACCGCACGGTTTTATAATACGAAGACCTCCCTCATCCCTCGCCGCTCCCTTGACCATCGACCGACAATTGTAAATGGCACATAAAATAAATGAATGTGCAGCGAACTCGCCTCTGCAACAGACAATATAAATTACAAACGAACGATTATATTCCGGCGGGAATGAAACGTTTTCCTTCAGATACACTTTATATTATACTCCGAAGCTATAAACTGCTGCCATATAACAGTCTGGCGTCCAATTATAACTACTTATTTTTGTTTATATGAGTTTCGATGTTAAACGTTTTTACTGTATTTTGAGAATCCGATCTTAATTGTAAACTATAGTTGAGAAACGTGACTTTAAAATAAATAAGATTCTTTTAAGTTCTCTTTAATCACTTTACTTGGCATAATTATGTATTTGGTAGTTCCCTGTTCAGAACAATAGATTTCCTTAACATAATTTAATTGCCGAGCCGTTCGCGTTATGGCAAATTTCCAATAACATGTCACTTACGTTGCTAAGTGTAATTTATGAGATAATTAGGGAGGGAGATTGCTAGCTCTGCACACAAGACTGCGCCGTAAATTTTTGTTTGCCTCCATTATAAACCCACCTTCCAATGGATTAACGGTAAAAGTATTAGATTTAGCTGATATAATTAACTTGAATCAATACGTTGCACATCATTTAACAAAACAATTAACAATTTACAGAACATCCAAAGAATGAAGTAATTAAAAATCCAAATAAACTTTCATACGTGTTTTATTAACAAGTCATATATAACAATAAAAGTGATATAATTGTAACAAACGACTCAAAGCTATTAAATCTATTTAGCCGTTGTTTATCTTCACTAATGTCACTTATTAAAGTCAGTGTTCAATTTAGTTAAAATTACTTTTGTGCATTTAGAGAAATCACAGAGACTAATCACGAACGGAATGAGTCATTCGATATCACAGACCAGTCATTTGGTCAGTGTCGCAAAACTAATGACACATAATGACGGCCGGACTAACGTCCAGAGGGTGGTTGCCTGCCAACATTACATTACATCGACGTTATACAAAATTAGACTCTATCTTAAAGGATTAAGAAGAACGCTCTGCCGCGCATCAGTCAAGGTCTGTTAGCTGGCCTCCCTGGGAGGTCTTCGGGGTACAGTCGCGACCGACTACGGCCACCTGAACACCCTAGCCGCAGCTAATTGAAGCTCCCACGGTAATACGACAAAATATTCTATATTCATTAATGAGAATCATCAATATACTGTCATATATAAAAGGTTTTATTTTAATCTTGAACACGTCAAAGTTTACTATTCAAAACCATCCTAACGTAGCCGCTAGTGAAAAGAAAAACGAGGAAATTGTTGCTTTGAATATGAAATAAAACAAAACAAATAAAATCATCAACTAGTTAACTTTCTAAGATATATATCGGCTCTTATTAAAACCTATAAAAAAAGTAATCCGCTTACGAGTTTCTGAATATGCACAAACAGTTAAACATCTGAATAATCTAGATATAATCTATCAGAATACATCTACGCTTAACTCGAAATGAATCAGACTGCAAAATGGTTTTAATAAATTTTTGTAATTCATTGACGTGAATAATCGGCTTAGATCATTATTATATGAAATAGTTATGATTCAAAAACGTTGAAATGCGTGGATGTATATCAGTAGAGTGGCCCACTGATCTTGTTACGGTAAGCAACCGCCTTGCGTGCACTTGTAGAAAATTACATGCACTTATCCGTTTGTATTAGAACCGCCCGTTATATCCGCTAGTAGTATTATACTTTATAATCATAATCATTAACCGGTTAAAGACAATCTCATCTCTTTTAATTTCATAATAGTTCTTCAAATAGTTAAGAGGCCTGTCATGAATCTATGATTTTCGGCACACAAATCTTGTTATGGAATAAAAAAATGATATATTTTTTTATAGTGCTATAAAGTTTTTCTATGTTATTTATTTTTTACCAAATACAGTTATTTAGTACAATACAATAAAAGAAATAGTGTTAAAATCTATTGAAATACATCTTCAAAAAAGTTTTTTTCGTATATACATATATAAAAACAAAAAGAAAATTTAAGTAACAAAATTAAAAGAATAGAAAGAGTGTTCTGTAAAGTAAATAATAAAATATAAATATATATATCACCTTATATATATAACATAACCGACATAACAAATGAATCCAAAAATAAATCACATAAATAAAATCTCATTATCTAATCTGGCAATCAACTAGTTGGGCCACGTTTCACCTGCCTAATTTCGGTACACAAACCGCAGCAACGTCCGCTGAAAATCAGGAAAATCAGTCACAAATGTACAATGAATATATGCTATTTGCCTTTGTCATTTGCGTTTGTCATTTGCTTTTCAGCTTTTGTACAGTTAAAGTTTTTTCATATAACATAAAATACAAAAAAAAAAACGAAAGACTTAGCAAGAGATTTTCATGAATATCTGAATTTCATCAATAGTATTAGAAAGTGAAAAACTGATTATTATTCAGTTTGTATCGCGCCTTGTGTTATTTCCATTCCAGGTGGCGAGCGTGTTTATAATTTACTTTCACTACGTTCTTTTTTACAAATGAGGAAACACGTACTAAATCTATAATATATAGTCAATTAGTAGTATAGTTAAAAAAAGACGCAATTAGGTAGATTCAATAACTCAATTTATAATTTACGGACACTTATTATATTTATTGTGTATTTTTTTTTTATAAAAATTTAATGATACTACTATAGAGCTATGGACGTGTGCGGAGATATAAATGGAAATTGATGAACTTTTCTCACAGCAATAATGGCTTTTGGCACGTACCGACATAATTCCCAACAAAACTTCCCTTACAGTCCGTCCAAGCACAGGGTTGTCACAATAAGATTTATACAATAAAACACGCATTTAGAATGATATATCTAAGCTATTCAGCATCACGCAATCAAAAATATTTATATCAAATTAATGCTAACGATCATTAATTAATCTATGAACAATTCTTTAAAGAAATGGGAATCCTTTAAAATGAAACTCAACACTTGATACTTTTCACGTTCTACTTTCTTTTTTCTAACGGTTATGAAAAAGAAATTAATTGAAAGATAATGTTCTATCATTAATAATAATTGTTATTTTTTGTTTTATATGCGTCAAGGATACCTGTACTCAATATTTCGCTGTAATAATAGTTTTTTTTTTAATTATAGAATAAATTATGAGATTGAAACCAAGATCTTTGCAATATGCGATCTAAATAACCTTTTATTATTTGTAATTTTACTAACTATGAGTTTTTACCTTCACTATTCTAAAAGTATCAAAGAAATTTTATACCTCATTAATGGAAGGTGGAAGATGTCAAGCATTACAGATAAAAGGATTACATTTAGAGTATGTGAAATTATAATATTCGATTTGTTTATATCAGTTATGTGAAAAAAAGGTTATTGCTAAGTTGGTTTACACATTCACAAAATGTTTAAAGTAAACCTCTTTTAGAAAATATTATTAAATCTGATAAGAAAGAAATTTGTTACAAAAAAAAAAATATTCTTTTGGTGGACGAAAGATCTGTATAGCTACTTTTAATTTACGTAAAATAAAGTTTCTTAACCATTTAATATTTTGTTTCACTCCAATGACTTGTATATACTTAGATATTCACAAATGAAATTAATATTTATGTTACTTTTGGCATCCCTGTTTCAAAGGACAACGTTCGTCGGCTGAAGAAGGGAGCGTATATCCAATATAAGAAGAGAACAAAATAGGTTTATGCCGGATACTTTGACCATTCGAGCGTAAAGTAACTTCGCTCTGCGATTGACGCCCACATACTCATACTGCTGCTGTGTTTATAACATTATATTTTAAGATCACTGAAACAATAATGGCAGTAAATAGCATTAAAACTTTATAAATTACGAGCCAAATCTTAGGTTTATTTGATTTATGAAGATCAAAATTACGAAAACTTTAAAAATCACAATGAAACAAGGTAATTTTTTAATTTCATAAAAGATCTTATTTACCTATAAACATTAGGAAACTATGATAACATTGATAAATTTTATTTTTGGCATCTTTGATATAAAAATGTTTCACATCGATATCGTAATGGATCCAGGATTTGTATTTGATGTCATTCTAATTCGAGATGGCAAACATCAAGTATTGAAAATGGCTATTAATGGACACTATCAGAGTAAGTAGACGATATCGGCTAATGCACTAGTGGCAAGGTGATTCCCCAGAGGACGTTTGAGACATGCATCTAGAATATCCCATTCATATTGTTGAATATACATATAATTACAACTATAGGCCTTGCAACCATTACTACTGTGCACTGTCACAAATCTATTATATATTTATACTAATAAAAATATTTAATATATAGTAATTTTGTTACCGTTTATAGGTGAGTATTTTAATTCACTTTGCGATGCATCGGCTGGACGTTGACTTTGGTAGATTTTAACAAAACCGGACGAGGAATAGACTAGACTTTACCTAAAAATCCGGCAAAGTAATCAAGTGTGATGTTGCTCCTAAAACAGAAATGAAGCCAACATCACCGCCAGCGTACCGCTTAATCAGAGCCGGACAGCCCGCCCTATATTTGCGTATGCAAAGAGACTCGAGCCGCATTAACTATGCCATATAGCCAACGTAGCGTGCAGCGATTGGGCAAACACATATCTGCATTATAAACAGCGTTCGGGAACACAAACGCGCAATGTGGTCGGCCTTTACCGGAGCCCGACTAATCAACGGGCTGACCTTACGCCGTCGAACAAACTCTATACGGCTATACCGCACGTTAACACTGCCCTCTCAGTGAATAGCATCTAATTAAGACTATCATAGAAAATCATTTCTATAACAGACGGAACAATAATGTCTGTAAAACATATATCTCAGTTATCAATTAGGAAAAATCAGAAGTACCATTCATCTGTTCTCTAACATGCATGTGCAGTGAAACGTTCAAAACTTTCTACTTTCCACGTTCATAGCTGCATCGCTGAACATTAATGGAAAAATCACATATTTCTCTACTGCATCGTCAGTGAAGCGTATAAAGAAAGCATATCAGTGAAATCAATTAATATCTTAAATTTTATTGAAATATCAATAATTTATAATTTACTAGCACGTCAGTTGTAACTTTAATTGATTGTCAATTAATATAAAGTATGATTTACTTTCTTTCCAGTCATCTTATTTAACGTTTAAGATATCAATTAAGGAGATCAGTCAATAAAAACCACGTACTGCTTAATTATTTTTATTTTTACTTATAATAATTTACATTTAAATATTCCTAAAACCATAGTCAACAATAAATAATATTCTATATTGCTAAAAGGGTCATAGACACAGACGGACGAGTTTGTGTCGATAGATCAAGGTTTGGAAGTCGCTTTGGGTTTAAGGTCAATGAGGTTTATTTGTATCGTGTTATGTAAAAGATTAAATAAGACAATGCCAAGTCGACGCGGCCAGTGGAACTTATGCACCAGCACCTTCATTCTATTCCTCGTAGTATCGATATGGGTCTACCGCGCTCGACTTCGCCGGGCCTCACCACATAAAGGTTCCGCCTTGGAATTAAAGACTAGAATTAAATATAAAAAAATTAAAACCACATTCACTTTTCGATGTTTAAATAATACTACACTTAATTCATAGTTTCATAGAAAAACATTACTTCATAGAACTTAATGGGTTCGATTTTTTATTATATTAATTTTTATTTTTTGTCCTATATTCTAGTATGTCTCACCTATGATGGCCATCAGCGTGAACCTGGAATGTGGTTTCTCCAGTGGCGCCGTCGTGGCTGAATAGTTTTCCTCAATGCAAATGATACCGGCGATAGTAAGGGGCCACCTTACTGGCGATAAGCGCTTTACCGGCAATCGCAGCTAATGTTTTCAAAGCCAAACCACCAACAATGCTCACAGTCGTAAAAATACCAAGCATCAGGTAGGGTAAACTTTTTTTTTCCTACAAAAATAATGTGAATTAATTCAAATGCTTATTTATGCTCATTAAACAAATATTTCCTATATAATCACCTCGGCCTCTGCCTTCCGATACAAGATCCATTGATACCGTATGCCTCTGCCGTGCTTAACAATTTGCTCGAATCGCGTGCGCAGCATAGTGTCAAGTTTGTCTTCCGTTGACATACCAGGCATGAAACGCGGCTCCGCTACTGCAACCGGCGAATCGGCTTGTCTCACTAAACGAGAGACCATCAGCTAGCTGTACACTGTCCTGTACAACATAATAAAGAAATTATTACATTAACTAATGCACTTGACACTTTTGACACTATCTTGAATAATCACCTGTTTCCAATGCCCTTGTTAGTGCTGTTAAAGCTTTACTTTTCAGGGCATATCGACACATGTTTATGGGTACTACAATCGTCATAAACTTTTTTTTTGTAAAATGCTGAACTCTGCCGAAGGCCACCATGAACTCTCATCGGCTCTACCCTTCGATTGATGTAGAATCTTCAGCACTGTTGATTTCATTGTGAGCATCATCTTCAACACATTCATTCTTCGCATTCTTTCTGCTTCCAACCGACGGTTGACCAGAAGCTACAGTTAGGCAGATAACTGATAAAACGGCTATCCGAAATGAGACACACATTGTTTATGTATTATTACACAGCACTTTTAATATAATTAACGTATTAGAGGATGGCCTGGCGCAGACTGATGTTCGTCGTCTGCGCTGCGAGCTTATAACGGCGAGCCGCTTCACCGACGGACACCACCAAACATCCGCCATTCCGCACCAATTCTCCTGCACGCGTACTTACGTAACTGAACTTGAAATGATTGAGAACAATTTTCCAAGCTAATTTCTCCGATAAAATGTACTGAAAAAAAAAAAAGCGAGGAGTGCATTGCAAAAGCAAAAAACACACATGAATGTATCAGACATGAGTATGTACAATTAATAAATATGTGTAAGTGTTTATCAAGACTCGCGTGCACCATGGGGTACGATTCGGAATCACGTTTCACGTACGGACGGACTGGTTTTAAGCTATTAGTTGCAGTTATTAATATACTAATATTGTCTTTAATATAATGCTTGTGCAGGGTGCAAGGTCGATTTTACGAATCGTTTATGCATCACACGAACGGGTGGCGTGGACGAGTGTGTTCATATAACAGGAACTACGAACGTATACAACTTAAAGAAAGTAATAGTTTTATCGAAACCGTGGCGATACTAAAATCAGTTATTATATTAACTCTTGCATGAACATGTCCAGTTTATGATAAAAAAACATTAAAAGTAAAATTGATTTTTATTTAATTATAGTTTTACCTTAATTACAATAATTACAAATAGAGTAGTTTTAAAGTTAAAAGCCAAAGACATACGGAGTTTTTTTCTTTCTAAAAGTATCTTAAAAGTAAAGTACTAATTAGATTTTAATTTTTAAGTGTTATTTTTAAGACGATTATATTTATTTATTTTTTTTCATCTTAAGCATTGGTGATTAAAACAAAGAAGGGAAAAGAAGTGGTTTATTAAAAGTAACTATGAATTACCACGAAGAACATTTAAACTAAATATTGTAACATTGAAATGCTTTTCTTATAATCGCTTTTATTGTAAAATCGAATGTTAAAAACGCTAGATTTCTAAACGGAATTTCTATTTTAAGCTTTAGGGTTTTTTGTTTTTATTAACATGCAAAAAACAGATTGACTCTAACAACTTTTTTTTTTTATTTACATTTGGCTTGTTGGGTAAAAAAAAGTATGTAGGTAACATACACATACTAGAAGGACGATGGACTTTTACGTATTTAATAAAGCTTTTAGTAAATACGTAAGAAGTAAATTAAGTAAACAAAGTAAAGTAAATAGCCATAATAATTGTGTACCTTAAAAAGATATATGTATTATACTTAGGTACTAAACTAAATTATTCCCAATGGCCAGCACCCCCCCTAATTTGTGGAACGTGGGCCGAATTGGTCATATCGACTTTTGAATTTGATTAATTAAGATTACTATTCGTCAAAGACCATCAACAAACATTGTCATTACAATAATAATATGATGATTGTATTGCTTATTACGAATGATCATAGCTTGAATAAAGAAGATGGCTTCTATAATAGACCAATGGAAACGATGGTCAAAAAGTTGACGTTAACAATATAAGAATAGAATAAAGAAAATATTAATATAAAGTATCATCGTCTTTTGTTAGTAAATTTCAATAAACCTGCTAGTATGATATTTAAACGATACTTAATTTAAAACCTAAGTTTCTTTGACTTTTTTAATTTTTTATACAGGGTGTATGAAAAAACTGTGTCAACAACCCTTAACTACGTTTATCAGTATCGATAATGTAACACAATAAAACAACTTAAAATTTACAAACTCTTCAATAAAAATATCAATAAAATTAAATAATTAAATGATTATTTTATGAGGGAGTAACAAATTGTTTGGTAAGCCCCTGGTATAAACACGATGACACGCAATTAGGTGACGTCATCACACCTGCCTGCGCTACTAGTGACGAACTTCGAAGTACTTTCACATTATTGAAAAAAATATAGATATTAAAAAAAATCATAACAATAAATAAAAATATTTAATATTCATATTGTTTTCGATACTTATTTTGATATATCACACATTAGTATTAATTATTTTTGATTGTAAAAAAACATTATTTCTAACAGAAAAATAGATTTAACGATTTATCCTAATAATGAATAAAAACAATTATATTTTTAATTTTACCTGAAAGATGTTTTCACAAATTATAATATTTGATTAATAATATTATATTTATTTATGAAAAGTTACTTTAAATGAACTAAAAGAAAAAAGCATAACTAACTTATAGGCAATATTGAAAAAAAATCGATAAGGGGAATATTTATCGATATACTTACCTAATAAACACTAACAAAAGACGAATGTGCCACGCCGGCGGCCGGCGCCTGCGATCAAAGGGCCGCGCATGCGTCTTCGCGACGATACGGTGTCTTGACCTTTGTATTGCGTCATCCATAAACTGTTGCGCTACTAGTGCCTATGGCGCGAACTCAAAGTTACTCTTTCCAACATGTATTGGAAAAATATCACTACGATATAGAAAAAATCATACTTTTCAAATCAAAATCAACAAATTATATAATAATAAATTAATGTTCCATAAATAATTCGATACTTAGTTTTTAATATATCACACAATTAACCATTTATTTTTTTGATTTGATGTAACAAACCAGTATTTCATAATCAGAAATATATTAAAACGATTTATATTCCCCTAATAATACAACATATGTAATTTAACCTGAAGAAGTTTCCAAATTATAATATGTTGATTAATTTTAATTTAAAATTTATTATTTATAAAAAAGTTACTGTTTTAAATGACTAAAGAAAAGTCAATCGAAAAACCTATCTAAATAGTAGAAATATAAGATTTATAGCAATAATAAATGAAAATGTCGATAGGAATATTTCAACTCGATATATTAATTACCTAAATAAACCCTAACACAAAGACGAATGTGCCATGCCGGGCGGCCGGGCGCCTTGCGATAGAGATCACAAAGATATACATGCAACGCGCATGCGTCTTCGCGACGATACGGTGGTCTTGACCTTGTATTGCGTCATCATAAACTTGTTGCGCTACTAGTGACGAACTCAAAGTTACTTGACCACATTATTGAAAATATCGATATTTAAAAAAATCATAACAACTATCCCGGAGTATTTAAACAAAAATTAAAAAATATTTGTGGTCGGCACTAGCGCGCCAACTAAATATAACTATAACCAACACACGCCATTTGCACCGATCACGCCACCGAGCGCGTGATTCGAATGCATCCTATCCCCACTCTCCCCACTACTAGCTGTATAAAAAAGACGTTCACGATTATTCGAAGGGAGTCTTGGCTCTTGACGTGGGCGCGGTGTGCACTAGTTGTACGTAGCCTGTTAACCTTGACTCTTTGGATAATTTTAATTTGTGAAAACGAATTAATTATTATTCTGGTGTTGTAATTTGGTCCTTGGACTAAATTATATCCGATTTCAAACTATTATTCAGTTTAAAAGAACTTCATGCCTTGAATTATGGCCCATCCATCTATCCATTTCCATCTTATATTTCTACATCAGAAGTGGGATGGCGATCCACCTTCCATCTCATAATCAAACCAAACTGCATTGAAAAGCAAACAAAAAAAAAGGCTCTTTTTGGAATGGAAAGCAATTTTTTATTAAAATTATCAAATAGTTTAAACCAGCATCCCGTTGAAATCCAAACCCTTGTGATTTAGGCCTATAGGTCGGTTACTGTCCACTTTTCGTATCACTAGCGAAAAACGTTTAAGACTATCCGCTGTTCTGTCTGATAAATGACCAATCAAAACGCCAGTATTTCTGCCTGCTGCAATAGATCGATATTAGATAAGCGCCTCACCCCCGCGCTACCATCTTGTCTCCTTTTGAGTTTCTTTGATTATAGTGACGTTCGTACGACGGACCCGTCCCAAGGTATGCGTAACAGCGTATTTGGCCAGCACCACATTCCTAAGGCATCAATTCTTTGCCTGTCAAGGGCTTCCAGAATCCACGTCCGGACTACGCTTTTTGATCAGTTTGTGAAGATGAACGGTCTAGCTTATTAGAGTCTATGTCCCGGGTCATCGTTCACTTACGTGAGTATGGCTAGTGGAGATGAACGGGCTAGCTCATTGGAGTGTATGTCCGGATCATCGTTCACTGATTTTCTAAATTAAAAAAAAAAGAGCGGAAAGAGCCAAAAAAAAAAAAAAAAAGCAATAAAAGTCAACAAAAAAAAAAGAGTAAAGAAAAGAGTAAAAAAAAAAGCTATAGAAAAAAGCTAATAAAGAAAAAAAAGATGAAAAAGGAAAAAAAAAAGGCTAAAAAAAAAGACAAAAAAAACCTAAAAAAAAAGGAGAGAAAGGTTAAAAAAAAATAGTAAAATAAAAAAAAAGAAATGAAAAGTAAAAAAAAAAGTTAAAAAAAAAAGAAAAGTTTAAAAAATAATAATAATAAAAAAAGAATTAGAAAGTTTAAAAAAAAGGAGTAAAAAAAAGGAAAAAAAAAAAGAAAGTGTAAAAAAAAAAGAGTAAAAAAAAAAGGCAGAGAGTTGAAGGGGCTTACGCCGGTCCCAACCGTGTGGGGCTGTAGGGAATCATAATTCCGGTCCAGCATGA